TAAGAGAGAAACATTGATCCCGCATGCACCCAACCAGGAATCAAACCCTCAACCTGGGTATGTGCCCTGACCCGGAATCAAACCAGCAACCAAAGAATGACGCTCAACCAACTGACCAAGGCCTCCCCCTCCCCCGCCCTCTTTTTTTTTTTAAATACATACTTTTTATTTATTTCAGAGAGGAAGGGAAAGGGAGAGAGAGATAGAAGCATCTGTGATGAGAGAATCATCAATTGGCTGCCTCCTGCACGTCCCCCACTGAGGATTGAACCTGCAACCCCAGCATCTGCTCTGACCGGAATTGAACCTGGGACTCTTCAGTCCACAAGCTGATGCTCTATCCACTGAGCCAAACAAGCTAGGGCAGCCCTTTTTTCTTTCCCTGTAATTATATGTGTGTATGGCGTGAGTGTCTTTAACACTAATTTTTTTTTTTTTTTTTTTTTTACTTGATCTGTTTTACTTGCTATCTTGGGGGAGAAGAGCAGTTTGAGATTTATAACATTTTTATTTCTAAATAAATTTATTTTGCAAGATACTGGAAGGACCATAGAAGGGTCACTTAAATATACCTGGCGAGGTACACTTCTAAATGAGACATAATAGTCTGTCACATACATAAAATTGAATGTAGACAGTGCTGACTTAAATAACAAGAGCTGCTTTGTATTGAATATCTATGATGTGTCGGTATGCTAGGCATTTTAGCTAGATTATGTAATTCACTCTTCTCAGCACCTGTAAAATAGGCCATTTTCTATTTTACAGAGGGGAGCACTGAGGTTGATAGGGCTTAGTTTGCCCAAAGTGATCACCTGTCTCTCTTGAACCTAGTTTCTTTTTGCTGCACAGGACCAGGCCAGCAAAGGAGGGCAGTTGGGGGGAGGGGAGGACCAGGCCTGAAGGGGAGGGCAGTTGTGGAGAATCAGGCCATCAGAAGAAGGCAGTTGAGGGGAAATCAGGCTGGCAGAGGAGGGCAGTTGGGGGTGACGAGGCCTGCAGGGGAGGGCAGTTAGGGACAATTGTGCTGGCAGAGGAGCAGTTAGGCGTCGATCAGGCAGGCAGAGGAGTGGTGAGTGGGTGATCAGGCTGGCAGGCAGGCGAGCAGTTGGGAGCCAGCAGTCTTAGATTGTGAGAAGGATGTTTGACTGCCCGTTGGGATTTGGCCTAAATGGGCAGTTGGACATCCCTCAAGGGGTCCCAGATTGGAGAGGGTGCAGGCGGGGCTGAGGGACACCCCTCTGCCCTCGTGCATGAATTTTGTGCACTAGTACAAAAATATTTGATTTCAATATTTATGGACAGTACATTTTCCCTCCAACCACCATATTTAGAGAAAAAAAAGTTACAAAGGTAGTAAATGATTCATTGTATAAGAATAAAAGGTGAAAGTGCCCTTTTTCAGAAAGGCTACTAGCAGTTTGGTATATGTGCATGCACACTCGTGTGGGAGTGTGTGTTACCATAAACATAAATATGAAGCATTTTATTTTTAAGCTCACATCGTGTTTTTGTTTTCACATTATGCATTTTGTTCAGCATCTTAGTTGGATAAACTTATACTTTTGATGTTACATTTCATATTGTGCTGTGTCCTAATGGGTTTAGCCATTTCTGTGTTGGTATGTATTAGGTTACCCGTTTTCTTCTTATTTAAACAACATTTTATTGGCACATCCTCCTTGTAGATACCTGAGTGTGTGTGTGTGTGTGTGTGTGTGTATATATATATATATATATATATATATATATATATTCCTCACCAAAGGATATGTTCATTGGTGAGAGTGAGAGAGGGAGATAAGGGAAAGGGAGAGAGAGAAAGAGAGAGAGGGAGAGGGGACTGGGAAGCATTAATGAGAAAGAAACATTGATTTGCTGCCTCCTGCATGCGCCCCAGTCTGGTAGTGGAACAGGCAGCCTAGGTGGTGACTGGGAATTAACTCCCGCCTTTTGGTGCGCGGGATGATGCTCCAACTAACTGAGCCACTCAGCCAGACATGACTGTATTTTTAGGAAAGTTTTTTTTTAAGAATCGATCAAGGGAAGCATGTACTAATTTCCTTTCTTAGCCGTGGTTTCCGATAATACCTTCCTGACCGCAGCAGGCCTCCATTCTAACCTGGCCTTATGGCTGGCTTGCGTGGCTACTCCATCACCTGTGCAGCTCAGGCATCTGCCCCCCAGCAGGCTTTCATCAGCTGGCTTGGGTCTTCCCATGAGCCATGACTTAGATAGTCCATAACCTGGTGATTCCGCCTCCTCGCCCTGCCTCTGTGGAAAGGATGGCGCCTTCCAGCGAAGCTGTGAATTGGAGTTGCTCAGAGTAGTCCCTAGCGGTGCCGAGGGGCCTCATCCCTCGGAAAATACGTCCCCACTCACCTCCCAACAAGTCAGTAATGGCACCCAGAGGTTGGGCTGAATGCTTCAGTCAGTCTTAGGTTAGTCAATCTCTAGAACCATTTTTTTTTTTTTAAAATACACTGTTTTGGAGAACTTGCAGGTTCACAGCAAATTTGAGCCAAAGGTGCAGAGATTTCCCATAGATCTCCCTGCTCCACACATGCACAGCTTCCCCGTCACCGGCATCTCCCACCGGAGTGTTGTGTTTGCTGCAGCTGATGAGCCTGCATGGACACGTCATATGGACCGTTCTAGGACCATATTCCTGTAGATCGCAGTTTGCTCTTCAATTTGCTCAAATGTGACATTCTCTGACCAGCTATATAAAATTGCAATACCTTACCTCTGTGGTCGGCAAACTGCGGCTCGAGAGCCACAAGCTGCTCTTTGGCCCCTTGAGTGTGGCTCTTCCACAAAATACCATGGCCTGGGTGAGTCTATTTTGAAGAAGTGGCATTAGAAGAAGTTTAAGTTTAAAAAATTTGGCTCTCAAAAGAAATTTCAATCATTACACTGTTGATATTTGGCTCTGTTGACCAGTGAGTTTGCCGACCACTGCCTTCCCTCATTTCCTCTCTGGCACTCGGTACTACTTTCTCTTCATTTCCCTCTCTATAGCACCTTTTAATATTTAACATCTGCATGCTATGTCTTTTGTTGTTGTTTTGTGTTTAACCTCCGATAGCTTGTAAACTCAGATGATGGCAAGCGTTCCCTTCCCTGTCATCCTCAGTTCCTGGCTTTGGGTAGATGTGCAGGAATGCTTGCTGGCTCAGTGAGTAATGGTCAGACAGGGGACCCAGGGCCACGCCTTCAGGCTGGCAGCCCTCAAATCCCCAACGGTCCTCTCAGTCCCTGCCGCTGTGGGGCTGCAAGCAGTGGGGCATCTTCAAGGGGAGGGTCATGTGGGGACTACCATCACAGGCTCTTCAAGAGTATTCACTCTTGGTTAGCAAGGTTAGTGCCAAGACAAATGCCTGTTTTATTGATCACTTCCTGTGTGCCAGCCCTGCGTGCCAAGAGGAAGTGAGAGAACAGCGAGGGGAAGGGAGGGGAGAAAAGGTTAGAGGGGAAAGAGAGAAAATTATGTGGGCAAGGGGAGGGAGGAGGAAAGGCAGGATAGAAATAGAGAGAGGGGGAGAAAGAGAAATCAAAGTGTGTTTGAGAGAGGGAACTTGAAGAGAGAATAAGGTGAGATGGGGGTGGTGAGAATTTGGGAAACTTTCCTTAGGGCAGCTCGAGCTGGTTGGAGGAGAGGCCAACTCCCAAAACACGTTTGACCCTGAAAAACGTGATCGCTACCAGAGTGCGCTTAATTAGAATATTTGCAGCATCTGTTTCCTTCTTTTGCGGGAGGAGAGAGGAATGAGACATGATATCGACTCATCTGGAAACATTGTGGTCTCCAAGTCAGCAATTTCATTTCATGGAGAGCGAGATGAAAGATGAAAGGCCTTATCGGGAGTCGGGGGGAGTCCGAGTGGAGCTGAAGGACTGTGGTCGGTGTTTCAACTTCAGCCCAAAGGGTAGCAGTTAGCCTGTCAAACGAGCAGGCAGCTGACATGGTTACAAGTTGCAAGCAGAGTTTCCATTTGTATCAAATAGTGTGTTAAATCAGTACTACAATAATTTAGTAACATCCCCTTTGCCTTAAGGATGTTTGAAAAAATAAAAGCTATTTAAAGCGAGTTAGGAGAAGTGCAATAAAATTACAAACACAAGAAAGGGAAAAGGAAACAGCTGGTGATAGTGTTAACCACAGAGAGAGAGGTCGTTTCTGGAGATCCACAAGGTAGTAGGAAGGCCATCTGCCCAGGTGGGATCACACACATTTTCATATTCTCTCTCTCTCTCTCTCTCTCTCTCTCTCTCTCTCTCTCTCTCTCTCTCTCTCTCTCTCTTTCTCTCTCACTCACACCCCTCCTACCTCCCCACCCACACACAATATCCATTACTGTTATTAGAGATTGCTCAAGAATTGCCTTGGGGACTAATTAAGCACCTTTTATGAGTGGAAGTAAAATCTTAAGATTGGGTTTTACTGGGAGCCCACTTTTTCGTTTTATTTCGTGTTGAATTCTTCCATAAAGATCAGTGTTGATTGCCTTCCTCTTGTCTGCTCCTTTGCCCTTCCTCCCCCTGATTCCAGTGAAGATGATGACACAACCTGTTCTCTCAGGAAAATGACTTAAAACCGAGTTGTAGTTTTTCTTGTCTGTAGAATGGGGCATTCGTATCTACCTTGCAGGTTTATTGCCATGTTTACATGAAATGTCATTTTAAAAAGCATTTAACACGATGCTTATCACATAGTAGACCCTGGGGAAATGTTATTTCCTTTCTTTTCATGACAAACTTTTTGTGCACTTTTTGTTGTTGTTGTTGAAATGGCTGTGAGTAGCAGCCTCAAAATTAAAAGTGCATTTTTCCTTTGCTTTATGCTAGCTGATTTATTCATGCAACTTGGGAGTTGATAAAGAACCATCCTGTAATCCCAATGAGAACTTTGAATCCTGTCTCCAGTGAGGTTTCTTACAGGTCAGCTGTGCCTATGAGTTTACTTATGGACTGAAATTCATAAGCTCTTTCTCTTCCAGATGAATACGCTTGTCACTTCCCACTGACTGGCAGCAATGGCATTCACTGGAAGGGTCAGCAGCAGCAGCAACAGGTAACCCTGAAATCTATGATTCAAAGATAAGAGGATATTTAATTGTATAACCTATTTTTGAAAGAATAAGTTGGCTCTTTTTCATTTTTTGCAATTTATGAACTCTATGGTGCATGAAAATGTGTGAAAAATGTCGTTGTCTCTACACAAAGCCAAGCCAGTTATACTTTCTTTAAATCTAGTCCTTTCTGCATCTCAACTCATCTCTTTAACGTGTGGGTGTCACATTAGATCAGCATCCTAACTCAGTGTTCAAGACACTGGTCCGTGTTGCGCTGATTTGGTAAAATGTGCACATGCTGGTGTTCAGCCGGTGCTGGAACAACCATCGCGGTGAAACTCACCTTGTCACGAGAGCCTTGAAGGAGGAAATTCTATCATTGTTACCTTTTCTGACTTTTACGTTTGTCCCTCCAACTCTGCACATACAGTTAACTGTCATCTTGCATCTGCTACATGGCCATTGTCGGTTGAGGGTTGCATGTACACTTTCTGAAGCTCTGGCCCATGTTGAAATGGTTAGAGTGTAGGTCAGTGCAATGAAGGGTCTGGGGTTCAATTCCCCATCAAGGGCATGTATCTGGGTTTCAGGAATGATGCCAGCTTGGTCAACCAATCCATCTATCTCCTCACAACGTCTCTCACTTTCTCCCTCTGTCTTTCTTTCTTCTCCCCTCCCTCTTTTCCTCTCTTCCCCATTCTTCCATCCCCCACCCCCCACCCCCATTCCCTCTCTCTCCTTTATTCTCTCTGAAATCAACTGGATATCCTCAGGTAAGTATTAACAACAAAAAAGAATAACTGCCCTGACGGTTAGTTGAGCGTCGATCGACCTATGATCCAGGTCACGGTTCCATTCCCATGCCTGGCTTGTGGGCTCCATCCCCAGCATGGGGCATGCAGGAGGCAGCCAATCATGATCTCTGTCATCATTGATGTTGCTCTCTCTCTCTCTCTCCCTCCCTTTCTTCCTCCCCCTTCCCTCCTCCCCTCCCTCCCTCTCCCTTCCTCTCTGAAATCAAAAAAAAAAAAAAATATTTTAAAAAAGAATAACTTATTGATAGCCAGGAAGAATTCTTAATATCATTGATCAGTGTGTTTTTTAAAGTTCTAGTAGATATTCAAAAACATATTAAAGTATGAGACATGTAAACTCAAACTTAATTCATATTTGTTGATTAATAGATGATGGTGCCTGTCTATCCTGGATCCTTTCCCGCTTCCTTCCCCTGTCTGTTCATTTAAGAAGCTCTCTGTCGCAGGTGGTTCTGGCACTGTGGCTAAGCAGGGCACACTCTCCTCCCCCACAGGGGAGGCATGTGACCAGGCTGCAGCACTCCGCTCCTCCAGAGCCTGGGGCAGACTGTGGGCCTCCGTCTTAGGCTTGTTCATAACGTTCGGTTACACATACGTTTTATATTTCTATGTAGTTAAACGGCTTGTTCTTTGCGCATTCTGGTTTTGATTGTGCTTAGGTCTTTCTTACTCCAAAACTAGGAAAGTAATGTCATGTGTTCTCTGCAGAGCTTGAATGGTTTCATTTTTTGCACTTAAATCAGGATTTGTAAGCCGGTGGCCGATGGGCTAGATCTGGCCAACAGATGGGCAGTGTTCAGCCCCCCTCAGTTTTCTAAAAAGGTGTAGCTGCCCGTGTTTTTTACATAGCAATCTAGACTTTTAGCTTCTCTTAAAAAAACAATGTTTAACAACGTTGTCATGCGTTGCCCTAAAGAAACAGACTTGAAGAGCCACTGCGCTGGTAGACAGGGCCGGAGCGTGCCAATTCGGAACTTCCCGAGTGGTATGTCATCAGTGCTCCCAGGTGTGCTAAGACGTGACTCCTCTCAGCCTGCAGGTCAGCCAGAACTCCCACCTTATGTCCTCCTCAGACATCTGCTGTGTTGGCTAGCCCAGCGAGATTTGGTTATTAATTAAAAAAAGAAAAGAAAAAAAAAGTTGGGAAAGCACAGATGTTTTCTAGTTCTCTACAATTCCCACACAGTTGGTTTCGCACATTTAGTTAGCTGCTTAGCCCTCCTACATTGCCTTTGACTTTATAGTATTCTGTGCCCATTTGTAATGAATTTTAGTGTAAAGTATGTGTTGTAAATTTCCATATTAATAAGAAAATGAAAAAGTCCTGGGGATGTTAAGGAGGTTTTTGTTTTGTTTTGTTTTTTTTGTTTTTTTGTGAAAGCAGAAGTCTAACCAGCCGTTTTAACATAATTTATTAAATCATCTATCTTTTGTCCACTGATTTAAGTGCTGTGTCTACATCCCATCACATCCTGGAGTCCATTATACTATTGTTCCCATTGGTTGTTTCTTCTGGCACCAGTGTCATCCTATTTTGTTGTATTTTTATAGAACCTAATATTCAGGCAGATTCTTTGGCATCACTTTTCATTTTTAAGATTTTTTCATAGCCATTCTGTTCACAACTGATTACATTTTTACATGTGCTCTGAAGTCCTTTGTTATTTTTGAGAAAAAGTATTGTTGGCATTTTGATTACGGTCTCTTTGACTACATCAATTAGGGAGTGTTGAATTCTATATATCAGATTAGTGAAAAATTAAAGTGGATGAAGACATTTTAACTGTAAGATTTTTGTAGAGATCTGATTTTTTCAGAAATTTCTAGTCGTTGATATTGCATCCAGGATAATTTCTGGTTTCAGTGTCAAGATTAAAAAGGTATTTTGCTTCCTATTGTTGCTAATTAAAGCAGGATGGGTGACTGCCCTTTGTAGTAATATTCTAGCTGTTACAGAATTATTTATTATTATTATTATTATTATTATTATTATTATTATTATTATTTGTTACAGTATCTTTCCAGTTCCCCCTCTCCTTGAAGTGGTGCTTTTAATTTTAATACCGAGTACATGTGATAAGCCAGGGGACTTCTATACAGAGCTCTGTTTTTAATATATACAAACAGCTCACTTGTTTGAATGCTGCGTCATGGCAGGCTTTAATCTTTTAGTAGCCCAGAAGAAAACATCAGATTTATGTGGCACTGGTCCAGGACTGGCACATATTTTAAAGGAAACAGATGTGTATGGAGTGTGCAGCTCTGATCACTCAAACTACATAGGAGTTGGAGTGTGAACCCTTGCCAGGCTCAGGGCTATCAGAAGTCCTAAGTGTGTGGACAGACCATGACCATAATGTGTAATGACAGTATTTGGTTTGGTGCTTATAAATAATTAAGGCTTCTGCAGTGATTTCCAGATTTATCAGCATTAGACACCATTGAACCTGAGTCACTTCTATTTCCCACACCTTTCTCCCTCCCCCCCCCTTTTTTTTTTATTCTTTCTAAAAGTTGTTTTGGGGAGTATGACAAACTGAAAAGGACAGACATTACTCTACAGTTAATGCATTTGCTCAAAGTGAACACGCTTGTGTAACCAACCGGTGAAGGGACACTCCAGAAGCCCCGCCTGAACCTTTCAGCTGTTACCTCCCACACTATACTGTTCTGACTTGTAATACCAGGGATTTGTTTAGAATCTGATTTAAATACTAGAGGCCTGGTGAACAAAATTCATGCAAGGAGCTCTTGGCTGCCTCTGCCTCCTCTTCCTCCCTGACCACCATAGCTTTGTCCAGAAGATCGTCCGGTCTAATTAATTAGCTCATTACACATTTATTATTATATTGTAGATACTCATAAAGTATACTCTTTTAGTTTTGATGTTTTTTCCCTATTTCATAAATTTAAATATTTATAACATTTAAAAATCTTTATAATAATAATGTACTCTACATTTAATAAACTGTATTAGTTATATGTTATATAATCACTATTAAATATTTTTTTATTTTTCTATAGTATAACATAATAATGTAATTACTCTTACTTTTTCTTCCACTTTTCTCTCTTCTGCCTTTCAACTATTGGCTCTGCTTTTAGTTTAAAATTGTTCAGGTTGAGAGCACATTTTATTTTACAGTTACCTGTGCCCTTGCAAGCTTTATCTTGAAATTGCCAATAAAAGCTTAAAAACCAACCAGCATAATTTACATTGTTTTGAACAGGAGGCAAAATAATCTTTAGAGCTTCTTTTCTCCTCTGTGAATTCAAAGTCAACCCAAGTACCACTTGAAAAAGAAGATTCTTATTGATCAGGACAAATGAACTCTTATCTTTTCCTGAGTAAATGGTTCAAATTCATACCACATTTTAAATTTACCTTTGAATGGTGCTTTTCTTTTTCCTGAAGTAGTTGTTGTTGTTGTCAAGTGATCTTTAAGTATTTTCCTTTGTAGTTCTTAACTAGGTGGGTATTTCACTGCACCACTGCTGATGCCAGGAGGGTGGTGGCCATCAGCATTGCAGCTCACAGACTGGGCAGTCCCCTGTCTGCTCTGAATAGTCATTGTCACTGTAATCCTCAGACCCTCTCAATCTCCTGATGCTTGGGCAATGTCATCATCAACCTTCTTTGGAGACAGACCCAGAAGACCGATTTTGGGGGTGAGGGCAGCTGTGGCACTAACTTCCCACCAGTGCTCCTTGTGTATACAAGTTGGGTTCAAACTTCGGTGGCACAGTGGCAGTGGCTAGTGTCAGATGAACCTGGATGAGGGACAGTTGAAGAAAGCTGCACCTAGACCTTCTTTGATCCAAACACAAAAATATTTACTGGAGTTTTTAATGACCTTTTCTTTGTTGAAAGAGGGAACCTGCCTTCTTTCCACTAACTCATTCTCCTCTAACCCTTCAGTACCTGTTGCTTGAAATTTCCCACTTTATTCCTGGAATCCTGAAACTAAAATTACATGAAAAAAAGTATTTGTTTTCAATTAGTTTATTTTTATTATTTTTAAAATTAACTTTTATAAAACGTGTGCTATATTATATTCTTCTGAAGTCGGGGCCAGCTAAGTGAAGCCACAGAATAAAGCTGGGGCACTTTCTGGGAAATTTTACTTGCTGTTAAGGGAGAAACATTATTATAAAAACGAAGAAAATAAATTTTATTTCAAGCC